TGTATGTATGTATGTATGTATGTATGTATGTATGTATGTATGTATGTATGTATGTCTGTTCGTCTGTCTGTCCGTCGGTCTGTCTGTCTTTTTGTCTAGTGTTTTTGATGATAAGTTTCTTCTCAGAATATACATGTCTCTCTTTGACTTTGTCTACTGACTTCATGGATCTATAAAATCATCGCCTTTCTTGTTTTTTTCTCTAGTGCACCCACCCACGCCCAAGTATAACTTTAAGTATTATAGCGGTCGTTTAGACAGGTATAGTTTTCCTAATCGTTTTCTCTGAAAACTCTCTTTTGCCCCAATGAGCATAATTTCATCAAAAGATAGCAGGTTGTGCCACCTTATTGACGGGTGGTAACTATGATGTGTCCAGAACCAAGGTACTAGAGGTGTGTAAAAAGTTTGTTTAACATAATAAACAATTTTGTTAATATGTTATAATTGTTGTATAAATGATGTGACGTGTGCTAACTGGATGCCTTTTTGTCGCCGTAAGACAAATTTCTGAAAAGAGAGCAAATAAACTACGGTTCTCATTTTTCTCTTTTCTTTCCTTCTTTTTTGTGTTTACCTGTAGGAATGACAAGATGACTCCAATGAACAGAGCAATCGCAACAAATGTAGTCCCGCCCAGCACAGAGTAGGGGATCGTGAGGAAGGCAGCGCCTAACTTGCCCACAACAGCCAGCAAGATATAGATGATCCCAGTACATTGCATCACCCTGCGGCTCACCACCTACACAATTGTATTGATAATAAGGATGAACTAAAATGAATCAATCCAAAATCATCATCATCATCATCATTCTCATAACACAGGGAGGGTAGAAAAAGGACCCATTAAAAGGACAATAACACAGTTGTATTAATTGTACTCGTGTCAATAAAACTTAGATCAAATAAATTCAACCTAGGGGACATTACATCTGACGTATTGAAGAGAACATCAACTAACGTGTTTGAGAGACATCAAGTGTTGTTTTTTTTAAACTAGCCAAATTTGAGTGAAATGTTAAATTTCTTAAAACTCAACCACAATGTATATTTGTACACTGAAGAACAAAGTAACATTGACATTTCTAAATAAAGTCAAGAAAGGCGTAGGCTATTTGAATTGTATATTACATTGTGTTAACTATTTCTCTCTAGATTAGCTCGAATACGAAATTGGGGATTTTAAATAACCCCGTGGATTGTTTCTGGGTCTATTCTTTGAACGTCCTATTCAACATTAAGTTCCATCTGTTCCATTGTTTTGTATGATGTTTCCGTTGACTCTGTTTGTCAAAAAAAAATCTCTACGGAAATAACTGAGGAGGTTCTAGTAGGAGTAATGCGGTGACCATTTATTTGAATGCTTTCAACTTGCAATACGTTCCCAAAAGTTCTCTTGTAACCACGCAAAGACCCCTCTAGATATGCCAGGTATGGTTCCAGTCCCTCAACAGCATAATAATATTAATAAACCCTTTTCCTTCCCAAACTTCAATACTTTCTCAGCACGATCAGTTATCAATCTGATGTGACTGTCGTGGTTTCACCGTTCTTGAAGAAAAAGAAGAAGAAGAAGAAGAAGAAGAAGAAGAAGAAGAAGAAGAAGAAGAAGAA